AACATAAAACGACTTGATCGAACTTTTAAATTCTAAATGATTTATTCAGAGAGCAATCCGATTAGAATACAATATTAATATAGAAAAGTAAATTAAAGCGTTAAGAACGAGAATGATGATTAACAATTCCAAATCGATTGAATTTTTTGAAAAAGAGGGAAATCATTTAAAGTAGTCGAAATATTATAACGTTGTCCACCTTGATAAAATTTTTTTGTATAATAATGTTGCCAAACTGAATTGTATTGATCAATTTTAGGTAAATAAACTGAACGTGATGTTGCTTGATATGTATAAACAGGAGCAACTAAATAATCTGTTCCAAACATATATTGATCTTCAGATTGATAACATTCTAAATCATCATTAAAATCATAAAACATTGGTCGTAAAATAGGTGTTCCATTTTGATTAGAAATATTTAAATGATATTCAATATAATTACGTAAAGATTCTCGTAATCGAATTATATTAATAATTTGTTCACTATATTTAAATAACCAGACTTCATTATGTCCACCAGAAAAACCACATTCATTGTTTGGAAATGGTGGATAACGTTCACCATGTAAACGAAATAATGGACAAAATGCTCCAAATTGAAACCATCGTAATATTAATTCTTGAAATTGATTATCATCTAAATCAGCATAACGATAACCTCCGATATCAGTTGTCCACCAATATATACCAGATAAAGCAACATTTTGCGCTACTTTTATCTGTTTTAATAATTCTTCCCATGACGAATCAATATCACCACTCCATACAGCTGCATTGATTCTATGACTACCTATCCATGCTTGTCTACTAAGCATAATAATTTCATTTTCGTTCTGATCTTTTAATCCATGTCAAAATGTTCGTTGATGTTCTCTTGCCCATACCATTGCTATTTCTTCATCATGTCTTCCATACCACCATTGTAAACCAGGTCGACCTCCTTCTGGTTCATCAGCATCTAACCAATAAATTTTTATTCCATAATCATAATAATTTCTTTTAACTTTATCCCAAATGAATTGTCTTGTAGTTGGATTAAATTGATCAGAAATATAAAGATTATCAGTTGTGCTTGGCAAAACATTTCCATTTGCATCATGAGTTAATAAATCTGTTGTGTTCATAAAGAAAAAATTTTCTGAATCTTTTTCAACATGAGGCCAAACAGATACCATTAAATTCATTCCGTATGATTTTAATTGATTAATCATTTGTGGAATATCTGGCCAACATGTACTATTAAATTTCCATTCACCAAGTTTTGTCCAATGAAACCAATCAATAACAATAATACTTACGGGAATTTGACGATCATAATAACCTTTTGCAACATCTAAGAATTCATTTTGACTACGATAACGATTTTTACTTTGCCAAAAACCTGAAGCAAATTTTGGTAATGGATTTGGATGACCAATAACATTAACATAATTTTTCATAAGAATAGGATAAAATAATGAAGAAAGATTTTCTTCTTTAGGAATTGTTGTTATCCAAATATCAAGTTGATGTGTAGCATTTGCAGTCCACATTATTTCTTTATCATTTTGAACATCAAATGAACCATAACCTGGTTGATTCCAAAGAAATCCAAATGCTGATGTGTGAATATACCATGGAATTGTTATATCACCATTAGTTGGAGCAGTTGAAGAAAAAACAAATGGTAAATGAAAATTATGATA